TAAACATAAAGCATGAAATAGCTCTCAGCTGTAAGAATCTGAGGGGGGTTTACTTCCATTTTTATGTTTTGTTCTCAAATTATTAAATCCTCTCTTATTCATTATTTCCTCCTCTGAGCAGCAGAGTCTGGGTTCTGCTCTGGGAGCTTCTAGGGACAAGGTCCATGATCATTGCAGAACACCTGGAAACCCTATGAGGGTGTCTGCTGCTGCCAGGTAAGGGCAGCCACAAGGGTGTGGGCCTGAGAAATCTCCAGCATTTTTTAATGAGCATGATGAGCAGCCTTTGTCCCATGGTGCCTGTAGTCCTATTTCCAACTGATCCCGTATTAGGAAGGGTCAAGCACCTGTTAGCTGGTGCTTGGGAGAGGCCTATATAAGAACCAGGCCAAGAACAAGCTCTTAGGAAAAACAAGCTGGGAAGATGAGGAGTTGAAGTTGCCCTTTATGTGAGAACAGCTGGAGTGCGTGGAGCTCTGCCTGGGGATGGATGATGAACCAACTGACCGTTTATGGGTAGGATTAAAGAGAAGACAGGAAAGGGTGACACTGTAGTGGGTGTCTGCTATAGGCTGCATGACCAGGAAGAGTGAGTGGATGAAGCCCTCTGCAAACAGCTAGGAGCAGCCTCATGTTCACAGGTCCTCATCCTTATGGAGAATTTTAACCACTGTGATATCTGCTGGAGGTACAACACAGCAGGGCATAAGCAGTCCTGGAGGTTCCTGGAATGCACTGACAGGAACTTCCTGACCCAAGTGATAGAGCAGCCAATGAGGAGAGGTGCTCTGCTGGACCTCGTACTCATTGACAAAGAGGGACTCAATGGGGATGAGAAGGTAAAAGGCAGCCTTGGCTGCAGTGACCGTGAGATGGTGGAGTTCAGGATTCTGAGAGGAGGAAGAGGGCAAAAAGCAAGATCACAACCCTGGACTTATTACAGCCTTTCAGTGCTTAAAGAAGGGCTTATAAGAAAGATAGGGACAGGCATTTTAGCAGGGCCTGTTGTGATAGGACAAGGGGTAATAGTTTTAAACTGAAAAAGGCTAGATATAAGGAAGAAATTCTTTACAATGAGGGTGGTAAAACACTGGAATGGGTTGTCCAGAGAGGGTGGTAAATGCTCCATCCCTGGAAACATTCAAGGTCAGGTTGGATGGGGCTCTGAGCAACCTGATCTAGTTAGTGGTGTCCCTGCTTATTGCAGGAGGGTTGGACTAATGACTTTTGAAGGTTCCTTCCAACCCAAATGATTCGATGACTTGAGGAGAGCAGACTTTGCTCTCTTTGGGGACCTGCTTGGAAGAGGCTTATGTGATAAGACCCAGAGAGGCCCAGGAAAGCTGGTTGATATTCAAGCATCACCTCCTCCAAGCTCAATGAATGAGGAGGGGCTCTGGTGACACAGACATGGAAAAGGCTGCGGTACTGACTGCCACCTTCAATCCCAGAGACCAGGGGGGAAAGTCTGGAGGAAGGAAGTCATACCCTTGGTGGAAGAGGATCAGGTCAGGGAATACTTAAGCGAATTGGACATACAGAAGTCCATGGGCCCTGATGGGATGCCCTCATGAATGCTGAGGGAGCTAGCTGATGTCATTACAAGGACACCCCATAATCTTTGAACAATCATGACACTTGGAGGAATTGCCTGAGGACTAGAGAAAAGCAATGGTCACTCCTATCTTCAAGAAAACCAAGAAGAAGAACCCAGGGAACTATGGGCTAATCAGCCTCCCCTTCATCTCAGGAGAGTGATGGAGCATCTAATCCAGGAAACCACGTTCAGGCACATGAAGGACATGAAGATGATCAGGAGTAGTCACTGTCGATTCACCAAGGGAAAGTCATGCTTGACTATCTGATCACTTTCTGTGATGAAGTGACAGGTTTGGTAGATGAGGGACAAGGAGTGGATATTGTCTATGTAGACTTCAGCAGTGACCCCCAGGGCTCAGTTCTAGGTCTTGTTTAATATCTTTATCAATGACCTGGACAAGGGGATTGAGTGTACCCTCAGTAAGTTTGCAGATGACACCAAACTGGGTGGGAGTGTTGATCTGCTTGAGGGGAGGAGGGCTCTGCAGAGGAACCTGGACAGGCTGGATTGATGGGCTGGGGCCAAATGCATGAGGTTCAACAAAGCCACGTGCTGGGTCCTGCACTTTGGTCACAACAACCTCATGCAGCGCTACAGGCTTGGGGAAGAGTGGCTGGAAAGCTGCTTGGCGGAAAAAGACCTGGGGGTACTGGTTGACAGCTGGCTGAATATGAGCCAGCGGTGTGCCCGAGTGGCCAAGAAGGCCAATAGCATCCTGGCTTCTATCAGGCATCGTGTGGCCAGCAGGAGTAGGGAAGTGATTGTGCTCCTGTACTCCACACTGGTGAGGCCGCACCTTGAATACTGTGTTCAGTTTTGGGCCCCTCACTACAAGAAAGACATTGCGTTGCTAGAACATGTCCAGAGGAGAGCAACAAAGCCGGTGAGGGGTCTGGAGCACAAGTCTTCTGAGGAGCGGCTGAGGGAACTGGGGTTGTTTAGTCTGGAGAAGAGGAGGCTGAGGGGAGACCTGATCGTCCTCTACAACTACCTGAAAGGATGCTGTAGTGAGGTGGGGGTTGGTCTCTTCTCCCTGATAACGGGTGATAGGACGAGGGGAAATGGTCTGAAGTTGTGCCAGGGCAGGTTTAGGTTGGACATTAGGAAAAATTTTTTCAATGAAAGGGTTGTCAGGCTCTGGAATGGGCTGTCCAGGGAAGTGGTCGAGTCCCCATCCCTGGAGGTATTTAAAAGACAGATAGACAAGGTGCTTAGGGACATGGTTTATTGGTGGGATGGCAGGGTTAGGTCAATGGTTGGACTTGGTGATCTTAGAGGTCTTTTCCAACCTAAATGATTCTATAAGTCTATACTAGTACGTGCTGAGGGCCTCCCAGAAGGAAAGATGCTTGGCAGAAAAGGATCTGGGGGTCCTGGTAGACACCAAGTTGGACATGAGCCATCAATGTGCCATTCCAACAACAAAGGGTAATGGTATCTTGGGCTGCACGAAGAGGAGTGCTGACAGCAGTTGAAAGGAGGTGATCCTTCCTCTCTCCTCAGTACTGGTGAGGATACACCTGGAGTCCTGTGTCCAGTTCTGCCCCCCCCACCCAGTAAAAGAGAGACATAGACATACTGGAGAAGATCTAGCGATAGGCCACTAAGACGGTGAAAGGACTGGACTACCTCATACATGAAGAAAGGCTGAGGGAGCTTGGACTGTTCAGCCTGGAGCAGAGAAGGTTCAGAGAGGATTTCATCAATGTATATAAATAACCAAAGGGAGGCTGTAAAGACTCTTGTCAGTGGTGTCTGGTGACAGTACCAGAGGTAGTGAGTACAAGCTGAAACACAGGAGGTTCCCTCTGAACATCAGGAAAGACTTTTTTTTTTTTTTTATTGTGTGGATAACTGAGCACTGGAGCCCAGGTTGCCCAGAGAGGTTGTGGAGTTTCCATCCTTGGGGATATTCAAAAGCCATCTGGAAATGGTCCTGGGCAACTGGCTCTAGGCGGCCCTGCTTGAGCAGGGGGGCTGGACCAGATGGCCTGTAGAGGTCCCTTCCAACCTCAACTGTTCTGTGATTCTATGATTGTTTACATATTTTTGGGGGTAGAGGATAAGAACAAAGAATATTACAGATTTGGGCATTCAGTAATAGTAAGTACTTTGGAACTTGCAAAGCATGCTTACAGCCTGATTCAACAAAACCACACTTGACTCTTCTATAATAAGAGCTAAACGCTATTCTTGCTTCTGCAAAGAAAGCTGGGACAGTGCAAACACAGATGAGTGCACAAGCAGTCATGTGTGAATATAGATAGGTGTGCAGAATCATGCCCAATAGGCAAGGCAAATACAAACTAGCTTATATGAACATCCAGGGATAAAGGAAATCTGAATACAGCAGTACACCACATTTTAATGATATAGCATATCTAAGCCAGTGAAAATAAATCCCTGTGCCCTTTGACTGAATCTCTTGACCTGCAACTTCCAGATACAACCGTATGTTGTACCTGTCAATGTGTTTCATGTCATGGCAAGTAACTATATGGTACAGTTTCTACACCTCTGTTACATTCAGTATTTCACCCACATTGAAGATGGTAACAGCCATGTGAGGAAGGTATTGCTTTTGCACTATATTGCTGATAACTTCCTGGGTTCTATCTTGCCACCAAATTGAACCTGTGGATGGTGAAAGAACACACACAAAGAAATGACTTACCCTCCTTCTTCAGAGTATTTGTGGCCAAAGGCAAGGATGTCAGATGCCCGGCCACTGCCATCGCAAATCACAACAGGAACAGGAGGAGTGTCTCGCAGATACTCCAGAACGATGGAGATAACATTGGGACCTCCTTCCACAATGAGGGCCACCACTGGAACCCCTTGACCAATTCCTGGAGTAAAAGACAAAAACAAGCAAAAAAACGCAACCAAAAAAGAAAAGGAAGAGAAAAAAAAAGCAAAGCCACCAAAGCAAACAAAACATAACAGAAGACAGAAAAAGAAAAAAAAAAAACAAACCCAGACTGAAATTACTGCATCCTGACCATACAGTGTTATTTTAGAGAAAATGGCATTTAGAAAATCATAGATTTTAAGAACAGTGTAGTCATCTCGTTGGTTCATGGCACAAACCAGGATTTTCAAGAATTATCTTCTGTTTTAAATATATTTATGGTTGAAATAGACTGAATTTTTTAAGAGATTGAATCTTAGTTTGAAAGCATAGAGAAGCTACCGCAATTCTTTTTAACACATTCAGAGACATAACTTTGTAGTTCGCTTGTAATCTAGATTTTGCATGGTGTCAGTTTCCAATCATTGGGTCTTCCAGTAGCTTTGCTTGCTGTTTTAAAATCCCCTCTATGATATTTTTGTTGCTGTATTAGATGCATTTTAAAGTTGCTGCTGGATAGCCCTTTAACCTTCTCTTTGATAAACTAAACATAGCCTGTTACAAGTCAATGCAATACTTGTTTTTGAATTCTAGTTAGTCTCACAGTATTTCTCTGAATTGTCTCCAAATTTTGCAGCACATTCCTTGTTTTGCAGACCCCACACTGGGGACATTGCTCCAGAGAGAGCTGAACTAGTGCTGAACCAGAGGAGAGACATCTTATTTTTAATACTTGTGGTATAGTTAGATGGGAGCCCTCTGAAAAAGTTGCTGCACAGACTTTGCCAGGAAAGTCGTATGAATTTAGAGAAAGGCAATCTGACACCAGGCTGGTGTTAACATGACTGAAAAAGCTTTTATGATTGTCCCTTTTGACCAGTTGAGACTGGGGACATTCAGAAGGACTCAGGCAGTAGAGCTGATTGAACATTTTCTATTAGCATTTTTTTTGTCAATAGAAAGACTTTTTCCTTTTAATCTAGCTTTCCCTAAGAAAAACTATATCCATTCTGCACAAAATTTTGACACTTCACTGAAAAATTTAAAAAAAAAAAGCCCAAACTGTTAATAGTTGGGTTGGGAAAAGTTGCATGAGGCCCAGCAACGACAAGTTTTAATGTGACTGCCTCAGGTTTCTACTTAGAGGGGGTTCAGTCCACAGAAGCAAAGGTAAGCCTGTGAGACGGGAACATTAGATCTGGTTAGACCCTCCTGAAACATTTGCAAATCAAATGATTTTTGATAGTCACAAAAATTTTTAAGCATTTGAATTACAGGCAAAAAAGGAAATGAACTGTTCTTTAAAAAAGAAAAAAAACCAGTTATTATATACAACAGAAAAATATTGTGAGCACCGCTGAACCAGTTTACAAGTAAATATTGTGTTTCCTGAAGAGACTCTCAGCATCCTTTGTTATGGCTGTATCTGTTGTCAGTTTGTGGTTTTTTTTTTTATTATATAACTTAAGTAATGCGTGGAGTGTTTTTTTATGTTAAGAAAACTATAAGCAGAGTTATAAAATCCAGGCTAATGAAAGAGAGTACAAAGGGTAGAATATAACAAGGTGATTAACAGAATGATTTTCACAGAGCTCACTGGTTAATTTTTTAATTGATATTAAGGACTTCCCTGAATTGCTGCTCTACCTAAACAAAAAAGTTCTTTTGGTGGTTAAGTTCTTTTCATAGGTCTTAACGGAAAACCAGTTCTGGGGAACAGAGTTAATGAGAAAGTGAAATTAAGAACTTTGCTTAAGAAGAGTGAGTTATAAGTCTGATGCGTTAACCTGTCCCACATGTACTTCCATTAACTTTAAGGGATTTAAGCTAAGGATGAATTTTGTTTGGCAAATTCGCATTGTTTGCCTACATTCATTTTAAACATGCTTAAAATTGCATCCTTTAAAAGCGCATTCTAGATCTTAGGAATAATTTTTTTTTTCTGAGTATCTTATAAATAATATGATTTTATTCCCATATCCATACATGTCATATGATATGTCTGGTTGCAGCTGAGCATGCAGCAGAGAACCTCATGTCATGCCCAGGTTTTCCTTTGCTACTAGATGACAAAAGAAATGTTGCCTATAGTTATTTCTAGAACAAGAATATTTTTTTTTCTAAGACAATTTCTATCAGAACATGAATAAAAATTAAATTCTTGGTGTGGAATATTTTTCTGTGTCATACTTCCTAACATAATCACATGGTGGCTGATGAGAGACTCTCTTCTGTTAAAATTTTAATACAGAACTGGAAGGAGATATTTTATCATCTAATTTCTAGTGGTCTGGCTAATGTAATGTTACCAAGGTTTTTTAATTTTCTATCAGTACTTGCTGCTTCTTGTGTAGCTTTTCTTTATAGCACACCATGTAGACAATACCTCTAGCATTTTTAGTTCTGCTGGTAGTTTTTTTAAGTTATGAGTTCTTGGTAGTTGAATAAGGATTTCCCTTTGCTGTTCTTGTTTCAGTCCTCCTTGCTCAGAAGGCTGATCACAGAGCAGATCTAACATGAAGTCTGACTAGGAGGCACACAGCTCATTGAAATCTTGTATCAGCATTCCCCTTTGGCAGTGTAGTGTTGTGCTTTGGAAATTGGCTGGTAGGGCCCATTTTATTTCAGTATGGGCAACGCCCCACCCCCTCAGTGGTGTGTTTAAAAGCCTGATCCTAAAATTTACCAGAGCTGATCTTTTGTAAAGTATTTGCTGTAATGCCGTATACGAAATGGTTAGCAAAGCTGAATATAAGTGCACAGATTTGCAAGTATATCATTAACGAATTAATGAAAGTATATCATTAACTTCTTCTGGCTTTCAGGAAAGCTCTCTAGACTACAGTTGTCTGAATCCTAATGTTATGAGCTTTTCCAGATTTATAATGATTAATTTCTGAGCAATGATGGCATCTGCAGTGTGTGAAAGGAAGTCCATAGATATGGGAAAAAAGCGCCATGTCTGCTTGAGTATCTTAAAATTTGAAAAAGAGGGTAAGCAGGAATTACCACATTCTCAGTTTTCTATGGTGTTCCCAATCACATTTAAATTATTTGTGACATTATATTTGTTTCAGAGTAAAAGCTTAGCTATTTATACCAAAGAAGTCTGCATCTCAGTAACTGTCAGGCAAAATGCAAACCAGATTTGAATCAAAATTTTACATGGTTTGATATCAAAAATCCTGGATGCACCTTTGCCACTAAATATTAGAAAATTAGAAACAAATGTGGAGTGTCTGTAGAAAAATTTCAGTGGGTAGGAAGACATTGACTGCCTATTCCTGATTAGACAGAAACTGCATTTGCTAACAATTTTGTATCTGTGAAATTGAAAACTGGCCATGCCTTGTCTGACTGGAACACAGGACCTGTTCGAAAAATATTGGCATGTGATGCCAATAAGACAGAAGCTCTGACTTTGGGAAGAAGATGGCTGATGGACTTCTATTTAACTGGTAATCAAAATACATTTTCTTCTAGATCTCTGTATCTCCTTAGAAATTCAAGAGTCGGGAATTGTCTGCAAGTGCACTATTTCTCCTGGTGTGCGCACATTATACAATAGCCTGCAAAGAAGGGGCTGGAAGTGTCTCCTATTTCCACAGGGAGCCTCTTGTTTCAGCCACTTCATTCAGAAGGAGAGTGTCAGGCTGGGAGGTGAGATGTTAAATCTGAAGGTAACACTTTCCTTACAAAGCCAAGGACATCATCATTATAAAGAGTTTCTTGCTTGAGATGAGAGTGTTGGAAAGGAGGCAATGCCGAGGTAAAACGATGCTGATGAAAAACTGGGCTACAGAGCCAGGTTTGCTGTCCCCTAGCGCATATCCAGAAGGTGGGAACTTTGTGCCAAGCATTAAAATAGACAGGGCAGTACATCACCCAGCAAGATGTTTTCCCTTCATGTTTTTTGTGGCATTTACTGTACAACTGCCCTAGTCTGGGCAAAACTAAGGATAGCACCCATCTTGCTGGGCTATCTCCAACTACACTGTTGTTTTCACTAAGTATGCTAAAAGTATACAACCTTAGGAACTCTGTGTTTCCCATTTTATTAACTAGAAAGAGAGTAGGAGTAATACACTCCACTGAAATGTCGTCCATTCTGAAACTGCAGATAACACTTCTCAGTATAGGACAATGCATTATTATTATTATTATTATTAGGAAAGACTCTTGATTTGTTGTTTTCCAAATACAGAAAAAGACCAATTCATTTTCACAGATCTAGATATTTTTTCTATTTCTTAGAAGGCAGGAAATTACTTGTTAATCAGCTTTTTTTTATATGCTTTGTTGATAAGGACTCACCCTCTTTTAAGTTCAAGTGAATTATTTTCAAATATCTGAAAAATTATGTTGTTTTCCATCCATCTGATAGTTACATGGAGGATTTATTTTTAAATTTACTCAGTTTATTGTTTTTCCAGCATTTCTAGGACAAGCTTTGGTTCCAGCAAATCTTTTTCCTTTTCCTTTTGGAAGATGGAGAAACCTTCTTGTCTAGCAGTATATCTGCAGACTTGAGAATAGATAGGAATGCTGACTATTGTGTTATCACTGCGAGGTTTATCACTTGGTTAACGACACTTATGTTTCAACATGGTAAAGGTCTGATCCCTAAATCAAATGTTTTCCTACCTACGAATGGTCTCAGAATTTTTATTCTGTGTTACTGAAAATAGCTCATAAGCCAAAGATTTTTTTTTCTCAGATTTTCACAGGAAATATTCAGCTTGTATTCAAGAGGAGGTATGTGTGAAACATCTCACACAAACTTGAATATTACTATTTCCCATTTAATAAGGTCTCCATCTCACATACTGAAGTCTTAGCATTCCTATATGAATGCAGAAAGACAGGTAGTCTCTAATGATATAATTAATAGAATACAAACAAAAGAGTGGTTTTGTTTTCATTTTGTATAATGATTCATCCAGAAAGAAGAATAAATAGTCCCAAAGACCTGGGAGTTAAAATCAGTTCTCTGAGGCT